TGCAGTGAGTGTGACTTTAACTGTAAACAATAGACACCCACAGCTTTTGTCTGTCTAATTGGAAATTAAAGTTTTCTCTGAGTCCAACTTACTGATGTTGCTGTATTGTCCCTTTGGTTCTTTTAAATAAATAATTAATAAAAATAAATAATAATTAGTCCATGACATAGGTGTATGCAGAGTTTCAACAAATTACAAACCAAAACCTGCCCTGCACATGTTAAGATTGACCACCATCTGTGTCGCCTGATGACCTGATTCAGACAGAAGACATCCAAAACTGGGAACATGGGTGCTTTGGACGACGGACAGGACAGGTGAAAAGATCATTAAACATTTTAATAGATTAAACTTTTTTGCACTGAGGCATTTGGAAAGAATGAAGAGGATCAGTATCAGTTATTCCTCCTGATCTATCGTTTTAACATTAATAATGTGACTAATAGCTGATGAATGTGGGTGAAGTGTCCTTTCCATTATGAGAGACGTGATGCATTCATCCACTAGCCACAAAGGGTAACTTTGCTGCTGATTTAAATAAGAACTATATATTAAATAAGTGGTGTTCCTTGTTGGGAAAATCATTAACTTTAACCTGAACCTGAAAGCTGTTCAGACTGCAGGTCAAAATGAGTCATATTATCAATTATTTTTTAACCTATGTGACTCTGATTTGGTTTGTGTATAACAGTTCAAGTCCAATGAAGTAACAATGGGCCTCATGCRAGAACCGTTCGTAAGTACAGATTTGTTCTTAAGTTGTGCGTACGAGTGATTTAGGAGAATTTGTGGCATTCATCAATTTTCTCATTTTGTAAGATTTTTTTTCAGATATGAACAAAATTCACGAGTGGTCCAAACCTGTCGTATATTTTACGTGCAGTCAGTCTGCTGTTATCCTGGCTGATTTTCTTCACTAATAACTTTATATTTCATTTGAAAATATTTAGAGTTGAAAATAAATCACACTCTATAATTATGTTGACAAGAGGCTATTCTGTTTGAATTGGAATTATAATTTTAAATGTAATAATGTAGACTAATGATATAAATTGTTTAAATTAAATTAAACTGGCTATTAATGTTGTTGTATAACACTACAATATTAACATGAAGATCTCACACTACAAACCAACTTAAATGATTCATTAACTGAAGTTTAATTTGTCTCAGTATATAATGAGGTTTGTAGAATTTTCTTAATCAAATTTTATTTTGCTGAGATTTATTCAGCACATCAGCTATGCTTTTTTTCTCCAAAGTGCCAGACATATTGTAGAGACATTTTAAAAAGCTTTTTTTCAGAACCACATCTGACACCAACTGTGAACACGTGGGGTTGGGGGTGGGATGGTGCACGACTGGCACATCGCTCTTCTTCTGAATAAATAAAAATTGTTTTACACACTTATTTACACTTGAATTAAAAATATTTGACCAAAGGAAAACAAGAGCAGGACTAGACAGAGATTGAGGTGTAGAAACCAAGTCTTCTGGTTGAAGTTAAACTGCTGTTTGCTCGATGAAAAATGACTCTGAAAACACAGGCTGGTTTGAACAGCAAGAACCTTTATTTTTGCAGTTCAGGAGATACAGCCTGAAAAACCAAATTGTGGCCTCCAAGCCAAATGAATCTTCCAAGTACAAAAATGAAGAACGAAGGCGAAGAACAGGGGTGTACAAGGCTCTTTATAGGTTTCACAGTGTAGTTAAACAGAGGCCTCATAAATTTTGTCACGGTATACCTTAGGCATTCCTATTCCAAATATGATATGTGCCGAGCTCTAAAGCTGAAACTCAGAGGCCTCACATCTGTGCATTCCTGAGACAAACCCCCACTCTTAGGACACTACATAATTCCCCCCTTCGGGACTAATTAGTCCCGAGAGAAAAATAAAGGATTGGCTGTAAATCTAGAAAGGATAACACCATAGGACTGTGTGGTGGTTTTGGGTATATTCTAAAATAGGTAATTTGTGACTCACAAATTACCTTACCTCGAGGCACCMCGGTCTTTAATTCGATCAAGTATTGACCCAGGAAAGAAACGAAAAACTGTAACTTTATTGTAATCAGTCTCAGAATAAATTTACCCAAAATGATTTTATGAGTCCTTGTCTTATCAGAACCAGGAATATCTTTCATCAAGACACAAAAGTGAGCTTAGCGTATGTTGGCACATTCTCCATGAGCCATTTATTTATAGATTAAATGTATTTACAATTATGGCAAGTGATGGATGACATGTTGAACCAGGTAACAACTGAAAGAGTTTGTTATCACGAGTGACAAACGGACAGACAAATAAACAAACAAACATATAAACATAAAATAAACACTGAGAAGTGAGTTTTGCTTTTAGAGTGAGTTGAGGTAAGTAGCTTTTAGCTGTGTATTTCACTAAGGACTCCTAGTT